AGGTGTGTGACCCTATAGGATCATATAATATTAGTAATGAATTCTCAGTTCATAGATTATGAGCGGTTGTTAGCAAAACACCATAACCACCTAATATTATACGATTGTCGAACCTTGACGTTACGACTTCTACTAGAGTAAGTACAAATGATTTTAGGACATTCCCAACACACCTAACATTAGGAGGTGGTCTAGCAAATTTTTCTGGTGATTAGACAAAATATGATATAATAAGAAACATATTACCCTGTGTTCAAAGAAAAAAAAAACATATTAGCCACAAAATTTTTACATCATAACACAAACCTGAACCAAAACCGTTCTATTTGCCAGCTTGTTTGAATCTTTTCCAGTGGCGGATCTATGATGAATTTCTACTCGGGGCAAAACAACAAAACACTAGTAATATATTTATAAATCCAAATTTTTATCCAGGGCATTACTAATATACTAAGCAAAATTACACCACACAAAAAAAATCATGGGGGGCAGGTGCCCCACCCACTCCCTACCTAGTTCCGCCACTGATCTTTTCCAGGGTCCGTAGCTGCACCTCTCATGATCAGCATATAGATTGTCTCCAGTGCACAAAGTAGATTAACAGTCTACTAGTATTTTGTTCATTCAGAAGGACAAATATTAACAAAGTTGCACTAGGTGGTCGAATCAATTCCAAAACGAGAGAAGCACTCGATGATCTAACCTTCTGCTGGGTGAACTTATATGTAATCCCTCGCAATTTTAGAATTGAAATGATTGGTTCAAAACCCATGGTCTCCCTTAGTAGTATCTGTACAGTTTCAAATATCAGCCTATGTGCAGAAGTAAATGAATCAAAAAAATATACAAAGCCTTGGAACCTGGTTTGATGAACTGTTGCGAAGTGAATTGCAAAGTGAACCTAGTAGTATCCTGCAAACTCCTCTCTCTTCCAATACCTTATTCTACCAGGTTCTTCTTGCTCAGCAGCTTCCTCTTCCCCCCACTCTTTATCTTCTGCCTCTTCTATCTCAGCTATGAATCTGTCTAGCTCCTCCTGGTCACTATCTTCACCAACAGGCTCTGACTCTTCTGTATTTACAACACTAGTCCCTATTTCTGATTGTTTCTATCCATGGAAGACATGCATTGCATTGCAGAACGTTGATGCCACTCTTCGGATGCTAGTCTTGGCAACCGGGTCTTCGGGTTAACACCCTTCTCCTTAGCCGCTGTTCTGTTTTCTTGATGTTCATCTTCTGTGATTCAAGTGCTTGTTCAATTCTAGCTTTAAATAAAGCCTGCAAAACATTGATATGCGTTCATACCATACCACTATCAAACAATTACTAAAGCAAGCCACACTTCAATGATTTATAAATCCTAAACATAAAGATTGTCTCTGAACTGAAGATATGGGCTATGAACATGTCATTAAGTAACAATAAACCTGGATAGTCTTAGATCAACAAAATTCTAGTTCCTATTAGGCCTGCGTTTTTTTTCCGAACCAGGCCGGCCGACCCAAACCAACATTTTTGGTTTTTGGTTCGGTTACGTTTTGAGTTTGGTTTAGTTCTGTTGGGTTTTGAAATATGATTCGGTTTGGTTCTAAGAAGATAAAAAGATAACTGAAATTAGCCAAACTAACCAAAATTAACAGATTTTGACTGATCCGATATTTTAGAAAATTACACTGAATTATAATTGAAAACCAAAAAGGGTTATTATGGAAATAATATTCAAAACCTAAATTAACTGAAAAACGAACTGATTTATTTTTGGTTCACTTTGGTACAAAGTGGGATTGCCGAGCCGAATAAACCAAAACAGAATTATACCGAAACGAAAAAACCGAAACCGCAGGCCTAGTTCCTAATGCTGATATCAACTAAAGTATCATCCTATAACCACAAAAGCCTAGGTTTACACTGCATTACCTTCCGTTTTGTTAGTGTTGACCGGGATCAGGTTCTTAGGCTGCCTATAGTTTCTACCAGGGAGCATAATAATAATCTTCGGTTCACATCGTCATAACCAAACCGAATTATGAGGTTCGGTTCGAGTTTGGATCCTATCAGTTACCCAAATAAAACTTATATCTCAACCGAAAAATCTGAATTTTTAATTTTTAATCCGAACTAGCCGAAAACTGGAATCGAAACAGAAACAAATTGGACCTGAAACGTATCTCGGATATTAGCTGATTCTCAACTGTGGTATCCAAATCAAACCGAAAACCAAAATAACCAAACCAATCCAATCCAAATTTTCTAGATACCCAAACAAAGCTTACATCTCTAAAACCAAAAACAAACAAAAAATCGAAATAAACTGAACCAATACACGAAATGCCCAAGCCTAGTCATACGATACTACTTTACCTTTCGTTTTGTGAGGGTGTTGACATGGATCAAGTTCTTAGGCTGCCTATAGTTTCTACCACGGAACATAATAATAGTCTTCACATTATGTATGTATATAATCAACCCACCCCTAAGTCTCGCTATCATGGTAGCAAGGTCAGTCTATATCCACCTGAGGCCCCATTCGAATTCAAAAACTGAGATTTTTTTCCTTTATAATTTTTTTTTTAATTTAAAGTTTAAGCCTAAAAACAGTCACAAAAAAATTTAGACCCTAAGCAATAGCTTCATTTGCCTATGCCATGGGCCGGGCCTGCATGGTAGCCATCTCTTTAATCTTTTCCTTTGGGAAGTTATCACAACAAACTTGCACAGCCTCATGAAACTTACAGTGCATATGCATATTCTGCACCACTCCTTTAAAGACTCCTCGGACACCAACGGGAACATAGTTTTTATTCTTGAAACCGATTTTCTTAAACGCTTGGATTTGCTCTGGCGTGAAAAGATCCGGATCATGCACCGGTGATGGCAGCTCAGGAAGATCGTACTTCTAGAGCTTTTGTACAGAAGCGCAACTTTCTTTTTGGACTGGATCTCATATAAAACAACACACAAGAGAGTATTAAAAGAGATAAACACAGATGAAACCAAGTGAATGGTGTTATCATGTTATTACTCTTTTGAGGTTAATTATGGATGAGTCTTTCTTCATCAGTCATGAGTTTCTTCTTCAATATTTTAGCTCTCCTGATCTCTCTTAACGTCTTACAAGACTCCTTACGCATTCTACTCTCTACTTTACTCCTTATGCTCCTTCCTCTTGATGTTGACATTGACATAGCTCGTGACCATCCTTTATAGACTTGTTGCATCTACAAGTTCTAGAGAGATTACTCGTCGCTAACATTTGGCCTTTTTCCAGTGAAGCTACTAGCACAAGGAGAAACAGCAAAATTATCGAACCATGATGAGGTCCTAGATTACCAGTATAGGTTTGAGGGTTTTGGAGAAGACGATCCTACACATTTAGAATTATATTTCTTGATATTCGAAAATTAGCATCAAGGTCGTTGTAGTATAGTGGTAAGTATTCCCGCCTGTCACGCGGGTGACCCGGGTTCGATCACCGGCAACGGCGTCTTTTTTTTGTTGTTTTAAAACCAGTTGTGCAGTCTTACCCATATTGCAATCAATATATACGTAAACAAAAAGGCAAATACGTAAGAGTTTTTGGACACGACAATAATGATAGTTGAAAATATAAAAATTAAATATATGTTGACTTTTAGTTTTATTTTTTTATATTGATTATTAATTCACTGACGATGATAGTTGATTTTTTAAAGTTTAATTAAGTATTTCTTATAAATTTTAATTCTTTAAATGAAAATTTCAGTATAATTAACCACAAGTTTATACCATTTCGCAGGTATTCTATCAAGTCATCAGGTGCTTCGTCTTCTGTCCTTTCAGGTGTTATCAAGTTGTTACTGCAGTGCATCATCTATTGCGTATGGCGTGAGAGAAACATGCACATCTTCCAGCAAACTTCTACTACTGAAGCCAGACTCATATCTCAGCATTGATCGACTGGTCTTGTGACTGTCTCATCTCCATTCCTCCTTCTTCCCCGTCTTCGCCATCACCTTTGCTCGTCTACTTCCGCCTTCCTCCACCAGTTCCTTAGTCCTATCTCTTGTAACTGCTTGTTCTGTTTTGTTTCTATCCTTGCTGTAATAAATGATAAGCCACAATTATGTAAACGAAAAAACCGGTATAAATTTTAACAATTACACAAAAAGAAAAGAAGTTTATACCATTTTAAAGGATGGTCACATTCATAAATTTCATAATTTTGTGATGAAAAAAATAAACCAGCCATTTTAAATCATTTAGAAATGTTTAGTAATCAATTATAGAAGTTTATTAATCTAACCTCATCTCCTAAATATTCAACCCTAAATAATCATTAAATTCATTCAAATGTTAAAGTATTGTTTTAAAAATATATTTGAAAAGTGGTAGCCAGTTTAGGATAATTTAAACATTTTTTTAATTTACAACAAATGAACGTTTATCTATACTTTTACTAATTATTATGAATTAATTAGTTATTTAAGTAAGAAAATTTAAAATAATAATCCTTTAAGTATATAATGTATTCATTTAAATATATAATCAAATATGTAGGTAATTAATTAATACCAAAAAACTTTAATAAAAAATATTAGTTTAGTGATTTTTAATATAATAAGTACATGCAAAATAACTATTATGTTTTAACAAGATAGGTGATTTTTATTAGTTCTGCCATTGGTTAATTATTTAGTTCTATAATATTTGTTTATTAGGTAGCTGTCATATTTTATTTTTCTTTTTAGACTGTCGACTGTGACGTAAAATGTAGCTGTCCTTGTTTAAAATTAAGTAGTTGTCAAAATCAAAGAAAACATTATAGAACTCTTTTTTGGTCTGATTAGCATCATATATGTGCTGATGTGCAAGCACGAAAGTTGCGTATTTTTAATAAAAAATCAAAATTTCGAATTTAAAATCTATGGGAACAAGAACAAAAGTATATCATTATATATCAAAACAGTTGATATGCAGGAGCAATCAAAACAAACAATCGAAAATTTTGAAACTTCATTAATGGGTATAGAAGCTCAAACCATCCAAAACATTTCTCACATACACCCTCTCACACTTAACGAATTTGACCAAGGGGCGTGTCTCGTATGCTTAGAAGAAGATAGCGTCGCCTACTATGACTGTCTTCCTTGCGGGTTCAAGCTTTGTATAGATTGTGCGAAGAAGCCACTCGTCATTAACGGAGAAGAGGCACATGAGCATCCACTCTCTATCCTCCCCAAGGCTTCTCTCGTTTTTACTTGTGATGCTTGTGGGGAGGTTAAAGAAGCTGGAGCTGGCTTGACTTTTTGTGTATGTATCCTATGTTGTTTTACCATCCATAGGAGTTGCATTTCGTTACCTCGCGTCATATACATCAACCGTCATGATCATCTCATCTCTCATCTATATCCAATCGGTGCAAGAGAAGGAAACTGTGGGGTTTGTAGTAAGAAAGTTGACGGGAAGTATGCGGGATATTCTTGCTCCGTCTGCTCATTTGTTGTTCATTCTAAATGTGCCACAAGAGATGACGTGTGGGATGGGGAAGAGATTGAAGACGTTCCTCAAGAAGATCTTAAAGAGATTATTCCATTTGAAGTGGTGGGTGAGGGTCTAATAAGGCATTGTAGTCATGGACAACATGATCATTTAAAACTCATCCTCCCCGTGGACGATTCTTATGTTCGTTTAAAAGACAAACAATGTTTTGCATGCATCCTTCAGATCTTGTCTGGTCCATGCTACATATGTTCACTTGACGAATGTGACTTCATTTTGCATGAAAGATGTGCCAATCTTCTTAAGAAGATAACACATCCTGCTTCTTGGTCTCGTCTCACTCTATCTTTTAATGTACGGAAATTTTATTTCGAAAATAACAACACATGTGCTTGTTGTAAGCGAGGTGGAACTGGAAGTGCCTTCACATACGCGTTTCGCAACAATTCAGAGATGTTCATTATTTGTGTACGATGCGCTTCTATTAAAAATGGGCATGTCCATGCAAGTCACCCTCACTCGGGGCTCATACTTCAAAACAACGACAGCGAAGACCCCCTGGTGTGTTCAATTTGCTCGGAAGATCGGCTTATTACGCTTAAATGCATCGAATGTGAGAGTTTTGTATTGTGCTACCGTTGCGCTACTTTGCCTGCCGTGGTTAACCACAAGTACGACGAGCATCCGGTTTGTTTACGGTATGGAGAGAACCGGAATGGTATATATTGGTGTGAGATATGCGAGACGACATTAGATCCAAAAAGTTGGTTTTACACATGTGATGAGTGTGGTTCCACGCTTCATATCGATTGTGTTCTTGGAAAAGACCCATCTTATAGGGTTGGATTCACCTATTTTGATTTGGGTAAGGACATCGAGGTGGTTCAAAACAATTATGTTACTCGTCCATATTGCCAAGGGTGGTGCTCAAGGTCGCCATCTCGATGCCAAGGTCCGGTCGTCTTCAAATCTGGGGACCTGTTCTGGTGTTCTAGCCATTGCGCTTTTATCTATTGTAAAAGATATCATGACTGGTGGTGACCAAATGAATGAATGAAAATAGTCAATTTTTTTTTATCAATTCATTAAAATTCACACTATTTATAAAGAATATGTTTTGCTTATGGTTCCTTGTCATTTTCTTACATTATTTTTCAAATCTGAAAAGGAACATTAATGTACATACTACTCTTTATTTCTATTAATTTGTTACTCACTATTTTTTTTTAATTCTAATTGTTTTTGATGGTTAAGATCCTTAAGGATTGTAAAATATTCCATCCGTTTTAATATATAAGTAGTTTTAGAGTTTTTTTGTTTTGTTTTGGTTACATAATGTAAGTTGTTTTCAATTTCAATGCAAAATGTAAAGCGATAAAAACATGTCTCCTTAATGGTTGCTTACGTGACCTTTGTACTCTCTATAATCTGTTACTTGCATTTCTTTATGCTAATCAATCAAAACAAGTAGACATATATTAAAGCGTGACTGTTGTGTTTATATACTTGAGAAAATACATGGTTTCACATTACTCGTCGTATAAACACCGTCTCCAAATCTGAAGGAGGCACAAAGTACTCTACACCAACATTGCTCCTACACTTCAACGCCGGTCGGCGTTTCCTCGGCGCCGGCGGACATCTCAGTTTCTCCGTCCTCTTCGCTTCGTTCGCCGTGGGCGTGAGGCACTGTTCTTCTTCAGCTTCTGTGTCTCTCTCATGCTTTCTCGACTTCGTCTTCACAGGTTTCAGTGAAGCTCGGACAGAGATTTCAGCTAAGACCCATTTCTTACCTTCGCTGTCTGATCCGCTACCGAGTTGAGATTTCTTCGAAGATCCCATATTTTGTATTGTTCCCGAGATCAGTTAGAGAATATGGAAAAGAGACAAAAAAAAAAGATGAGAGGAAATTGAAAAGAAGAAGATCTTTTTTCTCAGAAGAGGGAATAAGTGTAAAGAATGCGAAAGATTCTTACTTATAAAGACACGCTTGCTTCCCCAGGAAGCTTATTAGGTGGAAGACGAGGAAATAAAATATGGTAATTGAATAACGTGTTGCCGTCTAAGTTTTTTGGCGCCATATTGCTGGAGAAGCTTACATCGTAACGGCTTTTTTTCCCGCCACTTTTTGTTGTAAGGCTGTTTTAGGCCATGAATCTCGACCTAAGTGGGCTAACATAGTTACGGGGCTTATCAAAACGTTATTGGGCTTTGAGTTGTTGATTCCGACCTAAACGTTTTTTTTTTTTTCCCGACAAACATTAGTTTATATAGATGAACCAAGTTTATCCTCATGGAGGAAAGATACAATGAATTTGGGAACATAATAATGCACAACATATTCATCATTATGTAAAGATGATTTTTTCACCAAAGAATCTGCAACCTTGTTATTGTTCCTTGATGTCCAAGCAAACTTACAATCCTCAAAACGGCTCCTCCAAATCTGAATTTCACGTGTCCAGTTACAGTATCTGAAATTCCTTTTTTTTTGCATCACCAAATCCAGTAGCTTCTTACTATCTCCTTCAAATATTACCTTCCTGTATCCCTTACTCCAAGCACTTTGCATTGCCAAAATCAAACTTTGTAATTCCGCTTCAAGACAATCATTTAGTGCACCATGTGAAACTTGAGTAGCACCATGATAACTCCCTGTTGAATCACGAAAAATCCATCCAGCCCTTGCTTGTCGTTCGACTGATGACCAACCTCCATCGTAGTTACACTTCAGATATCCACTCGGCGGTAATTCCCATCTTGAATGATCGAGCTCTTGTTTAGTTCTTTTATTTCTTGCTAACTTCCGAAGAGCCACAATCCACTCTCGTGATTCCTTAATAGCCCCATATAGATCTAATCTCCAATGTTGATGAGACTGAGCGTAAACAAGAGAATTCCTACTCTTCCAGATTCTCCATAATATCCATAGTGGATATTGACGGTGAAAGTCAGATAAACCAATATTGAAATTCGAATCAATGATGATCTTAATTTTCTCTTCAAAGCTGACTGTTGGGTCTAAAAGTAGTAAATTTGGAAAATTTTCTCCTCTCCATATTGCATGAGCATGATAACAATCAAAGAATAAATGTTGTGGAGATTCGTCACCTTGGCAACATCGTCGACACTGAGCATCTCTTATGACACGTCTCCGCTTCAGCATGGACCCAATGGCAAGTGAATTTGAAAGTAGTCTCCACAGAAAATGTTTCAGCTTCGGTGCTGTATTCATCTTCCAAATCTTCTTCTTTAACTCAAAGGATCCATCAGGTGGGTCTACTCTTCTTTGTTTCAGACTTGTGTGTAATTGGTATTCTGTTTTAACATTATAATCTCCTGAATCCGTATAATTCCATCCCAGCACGTCTTCATTATCTTGTGCACTAAGTCGAATAGCTTTAACTATTTTTGCATCCTCTGTTTCTATCAGGTCATCAATTAAGTCATTGTTCCATAGATGATTACCTGGTAGAAACAAATCTTTGACAGCTAAGCCGGTTGATAGTGCATTCTCCTTCAGTCTTGGTGGTCTTGGAGGGTTCAGAGGTAGCCATGCATCCGTCCAAACTTGGGTTTCCTGACCGTTTCCAATAAGAACTCGAACTCCCTTTTTAATAAGATTGAGTCCCTCCATTAATGATCTCCAAACATATGAAGGTTTAGTACCTAATCCTGCATTAAGCATCATTTGTTGTGGAAAATATCGTCCTCTCAATACTCTGAATACAAGACTGGTTGGACTTTGCATTATCCTCCAGGCTTGTTTTGCTAATAAGGCAATGTTAAAGCTTTCCAATCTTCTAAATCCCAAGCCACCTTCTTCTTTAGGAAAACTCAGTCGATCCCAACTAATCCAGTGCATTCCTCGGTTTCCTTGGCTCTTACTCCACCAGAAATCAGCTAGAAGTTTGTTTATTTCTTCGTAGATACCAGCCGGAAGCTTAAATACATTCATTGTGAAAACAGGTAAGGCCATGGCTACTGTTTTAATGAGTATCTCTTTCCCCGCATCAGTAAGATATTTAAAAGACCATCCTTTTGTGCGCTGTTCCACCTTCTCAAGAATATATTTAAAGAGTTCCTTCTTGTTCCTGCCAAACTGCTCCGGGAGACCCAAATATTTCCCATCACCTCCATCATTGTTAATCTGCAGAATGTTCCTTAGTCTCGTTTTGACCTCAGGTTTAACCCTACTACCAAAGGTGATTGCAGATTTATCATAGTTAACAGCCTGACCCGAGATTTCCTCATAGACCGATAGGATATCTTTAATTGTTTTACAAGATTTTGGATGGGCATGACAGAAGAAAAGAGCATCGTCAGCAAAGAGCAGATGATTTACAGTAGGACCAGTAGTACTAATCTTCATCCCTTTAAGTCGATTTTGGGAATTTGCATTTGTGAAAAGATGAGATAAGATTAGAAGGAATACAAATTCAGATAGAAAATTTTAAATATTTTTCATCATGTCTATTACCTGAGATCCTCTTGGTTCGGAGGGTTGAGGAGAGAGAAAACTAGAGAGAGAAAAGCGATTATTGGCGACTTGTTTGGCGATTTTCGGTGAAGAGTTTCGAAGGGGGTCTCTGTTATGGATCTGGCTGTTCCGCCGGATTCTACAGATCCACCGGGGGTTGATCTGAGTAATACGGATGGTTCTATGGGTGGGGTTGATCTGAGAAACACGGAGGGTTCGATGGGCGATTTGAAGAAGGGAAGCACGAGTGGAGATGATAAGGGTTATACGGAGGTTTCTAATGGGGATTTGGGTAAGGAAAGCTTGAAGGGTGTAGAGGTTTTGAAGAAGATGGATCAGAGCTGGGTCGATGTGGCGCAAGACAAGAAAAAGTTGAGAAAGATTGAGATCGAGGTATCAAGTAAGGAGGGGATCCATACGGTAGAGATACCGGATGGGATCATTGAAAATGCTACACCGCTTTGGGAAGATTTTGTGATTGGGAAGTTCCTAGATCAAGCTCCACATGTTGCAAAGGTCCACATGGTCCTTAATAAGATTTGGAGGTATGGTGATCCTTCTGTTAAGGTTGAAGTATATGAAGTTAATCCAACGACTATGAGATTCAAAGTTTCGAGTCAGAAAGCGAGAGAGAAGATCTTAAGAAGGGGGATGTGGAACATTGTGGGGGTTCCGATGTTGGTATCCAAATGGTCTCCTAAATCGGAGGAAGAGAGGCAGGAGGACGAAGCTATACCCATGTGGGTTCATTTGGAGAAGGTCCCTCTTCACATGTACTCGTGGGAAGGGCTAAGTCTTATTACCAGTATAGTAGGTTTGCCAGTGGAGCTACATCCGGAAACAATGGCTTGCACTAACCTGACTGAGGCGAAAATATTTGTGAAAGTTGATGTTTCAAAGGCTCTCCCTAAGGAAATCACTTTTAAAAAAGGGGGGAAGAGCTTCACAGTGAGTTTCTATTTTCCTTGGTTGCCAGCCAGATGCAAGTTTTGTGACAAATGGGGTCACAATGAGGGTGTATGCGGTGCAAAAAGCAAAGTGAAAAGAAGAACTCCATCTAAGGAGACTGAGCTCTATGAGAGGAATGCTAGTCTGCAGAGTAGTGAGAAAAAGGAAGAAGTTGTGATAGTTAAGGTGATGGAGGGTATGTCGGGGAATAAGAGTGAAGTAATTAAGGAAGCAGAGCATGTTATCAGTGGTGGAGTTAGTAGCGAGATGAAGGCTTGGTCTCAGGTTTCGCCAGAGAAAGCTGGGAGAGCTTCTGGGAAATCAGTTCAGGAGTCAGTTGTGGTGGTGTCGGCATCTAAGTTCGCAGTTCTGAGTTTAGATGAGAAAGAGGATGAGGAGGGCCAAATTGAGGAGGCTACTGAGAGTCACGAGATTTATGGGGATTTGGAGTTTAAAGAAGATGATTTTATGGAGGATAGAATAATAGAGCAACAAATGGTGGAAGAGTCTAAAGTGGGGAAGAGAAGAGGTCGCAAGCCAAAAGCTCAGGATGAAAATCCAGGGAAGAGCGTGAGGCTTAAACGAAAACACTAATCAATGACGAGTTTCTTCTGGAATGTCCGTGGTTTCAATAAAAATCTAAAGCATTCCGTTGTAGAAGAGTGGGTGAGAAGTAACAATATGTGTTTTGGTGGTCTGTTGGAAACAAGAGTAAAAGAGGGTAAGGCGGAAAATATTATTAAGAAGGTGTTTCGTGGCTGGGATTCAATAACTAACTATGAGTTCAGTCATGGAGGTAGAATATGGTTGGTTTGGAATAATGAAGTTCGAATGTCTCCTGTATACAAAACTGCGCAGCTTATCACCTGTTCGGTAGCGTTACAAGGGCATGAGGAGTTTTTCTTTTCTTGTGTATATGCAAATAATTTGATGGAGGAGAGGAAGAGTTTATGGGAGGATCTGTGTATACATCAGGATTCGGCTATGTTTCGTAATAAGGCTTGGCTAATAGTTGGAGATTTTAATGAAGTGCTGGTGGGAAATGAAAGTTCTGGTTTTAACGATTTTGGGAGAATATCAATTGGGATGAGAGATTTTCAGAGGATGGCTTTGCACTGTGGTTTATCTGATATGGGTTACCAGGGTCCTATGTTCACTTGGTGCAACAAAAGAGAGGAAGGTATTGTCTGCAAGAAACTGGATAGGGTTCTAGTGAATGATACAGCACTGTTAAAGTTGCCGGAAGCTTATTCTATATTTGAAGCTGGAGGATGTTCAGACCATTTACGTTGCAAGATCCAATTACTGCCTTCTAAAGAGGTAATAAGGAAACCTTTCAAATATGTAAATGCGCTGGGGAAATTGGAGGTTTTTTTCCCTATGGTAAAGGAGTACTGGGATTCTACAACGAGTCTGTTTCATTCGACATCAGCCATGTTTAGATTCTCGAAGAAATTAAAATCTTTGAAGCCTCTTATCAGGATGCTTGG